AAAATCAATGGTACGCAACATCCTACTTATGAATATCTGGTGAATAATGAGGATTTACAACGTTTGTATGCCGCATTCCTTTCATGTAATTATAAAAAAGATTTGGATGAAGGTACGTGTGTTAGCTATAAAGATTTTTGTAACCGATATTTAGTTGTTGCTTTTGATGTAACAAAAGAAAATGATGAAAATTTGTTTAGTAAAACAAAATCGTCTGAACTAGAAGTTAATTGGACATTAAAAGATTATCAAAATATTAATTACAATATATATGCTGTAGTTGAATCTCAAAGAATTTCAAATATGAATATCATAGATGAAAAGATTTACTTGGAAATGAAGTAGCCTGCCTTACGCTTCGCTTAGTTTTTAATTAAATAAATGACTGATTATAAAGTATATTTATCACCTAATCAAATAAAAAACTCCAAAGTTGCAAAGATAAAAGAATAGATTGTAATATAAGATTCGATTTAACAGAAAGAGCTAATAAAACAATTAAATTGAGAGAAAAACAGATTGATGAAATTAAAAAATGTAAAAAAGACAAGAAGAAATACTGTGATATCAAATTTTCTCCAACACAGATAGGTGGATTTTTACCTGCTTTAATTCCTGCAGCAATAGCTGCAGCCAAAGCATTGGGATTAGGTGCAGCCGGATATGCAGGTACTAAATTAGCACAAAAAGCCTTCGGAGATGGTTTAAAAAAGAATAAAAAAAAAAACGAAGAATCCCAACAAGTCGGAGACATATGGACAAGGAATAAAATTGATAGGAAATACGGCTTAAGTAATATAGAAATATCTGATATTACGAAAAATGAGAAAAATCATGAAGCTACGCGAAATTTTCGAGGTGTTTTTGCAATTGACATGTTACCAAAAAAATTAGAAAAGATGAATCAGGCATAATTAATTTTCAACCCTCTAATCGTTACGGCTCACACTGGGTATGTTATGTAAACAAACCATATTTAAGAAATATTTTATATTTTGACAGTTTTGGTATTTCTCCACCAGAAAAAAATAAAACATATTTATTAAGTAGCGGAAAAAATATTGCGTGGAACAACACACAATTGCAAATGAATTCGTCTGTTTTATGTGGCCATTACTGCATATACGTAATAATTAATGTAAACAGAGGCAAATATTTTTATGATATATTATATTCTTTTAAACAGATACCGTGTAGTTTCAATGAGAAAAAATTCGTGGACATAGTCCACTCATGAGCTATTTCAATATTCGGCTATGCCTTCATGATGAATCTTTGATTCAGAATATTTGTATGTTATAAATGGAAAAATATCTACAAAAACGCTTGTATGTATACAGAAAAAGTTACATATATTTTTATAAAATTGGATTCGGATTATCTATTAGTAAATTATTATTTAGTGCATCGGGATTGTCTTCGTTAGCCCTTCCTCCACTAGTTTGTTTATCTCTTGGTGCAGGGGTTATAGAAATATTAGATAAGAGATTAAAAATATCAGAAAGAATTGAAGAATATAAGTTGATTTATAAATTTTATAGACAGTTATTGCATTTATATAAGGCTGATAAAATAAATGAAAAAGAAATAAATATACGTGAAGAGGAATTTGTCAGTAATTTTAATTATTTTCCCAGAGAGAAATACCTAGAAAAAGTTCACTTAAACGGTAATTAATCCTCAACCTTCAGCAGATTTTTAGTCAATCGATTCGGTTTGCTCATGAGACCCTTTTTTATTCCATCACCTCGTAAATGTTCATTCAACGATTTTTCTTTCATTTTGTTTAGAATGGGATTTATAATTTCCTCTTTATATGTAGAAAACGGCGGTGATTTTACGTATGTAGACGCTATATTTTTAAGCCCTAAAGTTACACCTTGAATGATATCCTCTTTATTATTTTTCCAAAAAGGTTTTAGTATATTGCGATATAAGAAACCTAATGCTGGTATAGCAAATTTTTTTATAGATTGAAAAATATTTCCACCTCTAATATCTCTGTGATATTTAAGACCAAACCCATATTGTTTCGGAAATAATTGTTTTCTATGAACGACAAGTACCATTTATTCTACAAGAAAGAATCAGGTAAGACGTCCCCAAAGGCGAAGACAATTACTGAATATCTAGAACAAAATTTAAGCACTCTCCATTAAAATTTATCAATTGATTTAGCTGATTTGTAACAGAAATGCGAATATGAAATATATAATCCGTACGATTAATTGGTAAATATTTTGGATGCGTTGGTTCAATATTAATTAAAGATCTAGGTGAAATATTTGGAGTAAAAGCGTATATAACATCACTTTTAAGATTGTTTTGATAACTAGATGAAATTAAGGAACAGTGAATCAAAATTTGATCAATATCTTTGGTGATATTACCAATTTTTGTTGCATAGTTTATTCCTTGTTTATATATTTTTTTATCAAATCCTAAAAGCTCATGAATCTTTCCGTGGGGAAAGTCAATTTCACAATCTATGTCGCGTATAATTAGCATAAAACGATTAGTTGCATAATTTACATCAAAATAAAACGGGGGTGTTTCAAACGTTCCAAAATATTCTTGGATATAATTATTTAATTCATTTTCATCGTACAGGCCGTTTGGTAATTTTAATATTTTCCAATCCTGTTCAACCCGAACCCCATCTTTTCTAATTTCATTCTGTTTATGCTCACGAGGGTCTTTAGACATGCGCTGCACTAGTCCCTTTAGGGACGACCTGTATTTTATTTCATTATTTTTATACTCTTCAGTAATGTTATCCCAACTATACCAGAGACTTGCTGTTTTTAAAGCAATTTCACCTTTTAATCCGGATAAATTAATAGGATTTTCAGAATAACTTATTTCAAAATCATTTTCTTTAGATCTGATGTGTATTAGGCTCATTTATTCAGTTTAAAAAAGCATGCCAAGTGTCGTGAATATCTTTTTGTGATCTGACTTTTTTATAAGTTTCATTTTAAACAATTTATCAAGTATTTCTACGCATTCATTATATACTTCAATTGAATCATTTCCAGCATTTTTTGACGCTATTAATAGATCAAGACGTTCTACCATTTCATTCGGATCTGAAAAAATACTGCTTCCTGTTTGCTGTCTTTCATAGAAAGGAATTTTTCGAATATCTTCTAAAGCACGTTTATATTTTTTCAACTGTGAATACACATATTGTAAATTATCAATTTTTTCTTGCTCTTGTGATTTCTTTGCGTTTGTAATGTGTGCATTTAATGATTTTAATTTAGTTGATATTTCGGGTATCGTTGTATCAATTTTTGCATTTCGATTTCTAATGTCTAACGATAATAAATGTGAAGGTTTTTCAAATTTAAATTTTTTTTCAATAACATCAAAATTTAAATCTTTATCCGGATCTAAACTTATTGCGGTATGCACAGAAGGTGATTTCGGTAATGATAATAATTGATCTGATTCGCCTGCGGAGCCGTTTACATCATCGCCTTCGGTTTTGCCTTTAGCCTGCGGACCGTTCTTTGATACATTTTCCTCGATTGCTAAAACATTGTTTTTGTCCAAATTCGCTTCGCCCGAATTATGAATGAGCGAAGCTAATTCAGTAATATTATCAAGTTTGTCAGTTATAGGCTTCTGTAGTTTTTTAATTTCTTCCTTTGTTAAATGATCTTTAAATTGCTTTAAATGGATCCTGTTTTTTATTATTTTACGATTTTTTAAAATAGCGTCAATTATTTCAGCATGCGAAGCACTAGTCCCCTTTGGGGACGCTTTGCCAGGCTTTGTGGGCATTTTACTATCAGTGTTAGTCATTTATATTTAGTGAAAAAAATAATTCCCGGATATGGATTCGAACCTTGGACTGATCAAAAAAGTTTTTTTAGGTTTACAAAGAATTTAATCTTTCACCCCTTTTTATCAATCCATACAAATTTTATTTTTGGAGTTTACGAAGAATTTAATCTTGCGCCAGGGACTCTTCGTTCTATGTAGTTTCTATACCTGATTCAATATAAGAAACTGCTAAACAAAAAAATATATGTCAAATTTCCATGGTTATATGAGGACACGTGTTACTGCAATCGCAGGGTTATTGGCTAAGAGCCGGTCATAACCTCCCAAATTGTATAAAACTTTGTTTACTTCGAGTTAATCTCTATTTTAAATACGATACAGTTCTTGATTTTATTTAAGCGTAAGTGCGTAATATTTTAAATAGTATTTTGTTTGCACTCACGTTATTATAAATATAGCGATCTAGGGATCTATTTTTTTTCTACCTAATCTTTTCAGTATATCGGCTGTTTATCAATTACAGATAGCAAAAAATGGAAGAAAAACGTTTCGGTGTAAAAACCAGCCTTCTAAATGAACTGAGGCTATTTCAGTTACTGTTAATGAAGAAACGAAAAATGAATTACAACGTAACAGTTGAGGGCCCTCTTGGCAGGCGCCAAGCTACTATTTTCGTACAAAATAATGAAGTGACTATATATGGACACACTTACATCATATTAAGAAACCAGGCAATTGATAGAGGGTCAAAAATTTCTTTGATTATTCATGAACTTTTTGAGATGGATTTATTTTTTGAAACAGGAGCATTAAAAGATTACTTTTGGAGCAGAATGTATGTATGTTAAAGCAACCAATTCACTTTTAATTTTCTTTTTACAGTTCTGCAGAGTGGACATCGAGTCCCGAAAAAGAACTTTGAAAAGTACCTAAGTATAGAAATGTGATACATATTACAAAGGAATATCAAATAAATAAATGGATGAATTAATGTTGTTGTTATTTATCTATTAAGTACTTGAAAACAAAAGATAAAATGTCTAAAAACGTAAGTAATTTCACCTTTAACTCAGTCGCATTTAAAAATAAAAAAAAAAAACATTTTTTATTGGGGGACTTGAAGAAGTTCGCAGGTAGGTAATGAAGCAACTTTAACAAATACAGTTTTTACATCAATTTTCTTTTAAAGTCGTCATCCTTATAAAATTTCACAGGACGGTGAATTCGGTTTGCTCATGAGGGCTTGTTCGAACTTGCATGGCCAAAACCGTATTCATATATGCTGAAATGCTCCCAACAGAAAAAACAGGGTTAAAAGACGAATTTTAAGTGTTTTTAAATGGTAACTTTTCTTGGCCGAAACCGTATTCACGGTTGATAAAACAGGATATATTTCTTAAAATTCGCTTCACTCATGAGGACTTTGTCCGAATTTTGACTTTTTAAAAAAAGGGTGAGTTCGAAAACTCGGGCAAATTCTTTAAAAAATGTTAATTTTAAAATATATCTTAAAAACGGGAGTCTTCACGATTTTTCTGCTTTTCTGTTAACCCTTGAAAATCGGGGTGTTTTCCTTAAAAAGTAGCTGTGTTCTCAAGGGGCCATCTTAGTAGTAAAAAATATTATTAATAAGACCCACCACTGACCCGGAAATGACCGGCATTCAGGCAAGACTTCTATCATTACGGGTACTAAGACCAAGTAATGATATGCATTGATTATTATTATTATTATTAATGTTATTGAAATACGGGAACTCAACAGGTATGTAACCCATTTACCGAGATCCACAACTACCAAAAAGAAAACAAATTTAATGAAATAAATAAAACAAACAAAGAAAACCCAAACACATAGAAAGAACTAAATAGATAATTAAGATAGAGTTTGGAGTTTTTTTTTAATATCACCTGGTTTGCAACAAAATATGTCAATGGTTTCTTCTACATTCAAATAGTTCATAATTGCCAGATACAATGGCGAAGATTTTAACATATTAGTTCTAGAATGAACAAAACTAAAATATAACATCTTCAACGAATCTATTACCTCTATTCCTTTGGAGTTGCGAATGATAAAGCCAAGAGATTTGTATGCCGACGCAACGATACATTCAATATGCTGTATGAAATTCAACTTTAGGTCAAATGTAACTCCTAAATCTTTTATATGGTGTAGTCTTTCCAAAACGTTACTAGCTATGGAATAATCAAAATCGATAGTAAGTATTTTGCTTTCTTGAATAAGTCATGACATAACACTTACTATAGTTTAGTGGAAGATTATTACTTACAGACCAGTCACTTAATGTATCCAGATTACGTTGAAGATCAAGGCAGTCACTCCAATTTCGAATTTGATGGAAAATTTTTAGATCATCAGCATAAATTAGGCACTTCGCTGTTAAATGTAAAGTTATGTCATTAATAAACATATTAGACAATAAAGGCCCAAGAACCGAGCCTTGAGGCACACCTGAAAGTTGTTCATACCTGAAAGTTGTTCATTTAGACCGATAACCATTCAAAAAGACATACTGAGTTCTACCCAAGAGGTAAGAATTTATTAAAGTTATCAAATGATCTGAGAAACCAAAATATTTTAGTTTAATCAACATAAGGCGATGATCTATACGGTCAAACGCCCTGGAAAAATCAGTATAAATACAGTCCACCTGACCCTGTTCGTCTAACACCTCAGATAAATATTGTGTCTTCAGCACCAAATTAGTCACCATAGACCTACCTTTCACAAAACCATGCTGACTATCTGTGATCATATTCGAAACATGTGGATAGATTAAAATATGAAGGACATGTTCAAAAACTTTTGCCAGATTGTTAATTATTGTTATGGGTCGATAATTGGTAACATTAGATCTATCGCCATTTTTATAAATAGGAGTAATCCTCGACTGCTTCCCCACATCAGGAAATGTGGATGTACGCAAGATTATGTTAAATAATATTGTCACCGGTTTTGCCAAAATTGTCGCACAATGTTTCACTAAGAATGATGGTATTAAGTCCGGTCCTGCAGTCATAGTTGGTTTCAATTTACGCATAGCTTTGAATACAATTTCTTCATCGAAGTTCTCTATATTGAGGTAGTCGATACTTGGATCATTTGAACTATTGTAATCATAATTTTGAACAGAATTAGAGATGTTAAAAACTGTTTTAAAGAAATCTGCAAAGGTTTCCACAATGTTCTGGGGGCCGTCTAAAGCATTTTCTTTATAAGACATCGTAGTAGGAACAGATGAAATGTTGTTTTTGGCCTTGATGAATCCCCAAAATCTTTTCGGATCGTTTTTAACATTAGCTGAGACATTACGCATGTATATCAAATAAGCATCTTTAACAAGTTTTTTATGTCCCTTCTCAGTGCTTTGAAATTTTCATGAGCAATTACACAGTTCGTTTTCTTAAATTGCAGCCAAAATTTATATTTTTGTTTGATCAGATTAATTATATTTCTATTGTACCAAACTGGATAATTACTGGCAGGTTTTTTCTTTGTAGGCACACATTTGCGTAAAATTGGATGTATATATGAATGGAATGATAAATCACAAGTATAGTCTCATCCTATTTTGGTCATTTAAGATAGGATTCATTTGGCAAAATTTTGGGCTGACGTCATCAATTTTTTGGAGGGGTTAAGTAAATATATTTTGAATAAAAATTTATTATGCTTGTCATATGTTTAAAACATTTGCAAGATTTCAAAGCATTCGGTTTTGCAGATTCAAAATTAAATTGTAGGTGAAACGAAGTTCACGGGGTCAGCTAGTATGTATAATAATTTAGATCGTGAAAATCCCCAAAATATGACAGTCGATTTTTTAATCACAACAATCATAATCACAATTTTTGGGCGATATTAGTTCTGTGATATTAGTTCACATTAAGTTGTATATGTCTGTGGACTTGTTTTTTTGTATTTGTTATTAATAATGACAGAAAGACATGTGTTAACAATAGGTGTGTAGAAAAGATTTTCAGTTCTTGCATATGGCATTAAAATTGGAAACAACTCTGCCTGTAATAATTGCTTGTGCAGTTTTACACAATATTGCTAGGAGAATGGGTGAAGTTGATCCTCCTTTACCAGAAGAAATTAATAATAATGAATTAACAAATATTAAGTAAATATCCAGGAGTTGCTGAAGGACTGGGTGCAAACGAAAATATTGCTAGGCAGCTGCGAAGAAATTTTATCAATAATTTTGTTGGACAATTATAATTAATAATGCCCATTTGCATTGCTTACCTAAGCCATTCTTAAAAGTAACTACTTCTTAAACTGTGGAGTTCTTCCACCGTCACGGCCTAAACTCTACTTAACTAATGGCCAGTTGCACCAGCATTACTTAAGCCTTGCTTAACCCTTAAGAGTCCCTTAAACTGGAATGACCGTTGCACGAACCGTTAAACCCGGCTCAGGTCCTTCTGATAAGCGGCCGATTTCGGAGGCTTAATTATCAGTTTCTCAGAAGGAAAAAGTGTCGGAATTCCTCAAAGGGGTGTAGTAAAGAGTGGGGTTGCAAATTGGGGTGGTAGTAGCTTCATTGAAGCCCTGTTCAGTCAAAGTTTGTCTATTCAAACGAAAATTTGTCAATTTGAAAGTGCTCATGCAGAGTTGCAGTAGTTGAAGTTGAAACTGTAATTTTCTTGAATTTAAATACTTTAGAAAAAAACAGTTTTTGAAATATTCAACTGTCCCGATGTTTTTATTAATTTTTTATACAAACGGTTTCATATACATATTTTTCTTATTATTTATAAATGGATAAACATCTTCCTAATAAGAAACAAAAGCAAAGGTCTCCTAACTACCCCAGAAGAGAAAACATTGCTCTTAACTTTGGTTCATGAAGAAAGGGACATTATAGAAATTAAAAAAAAAGACGCCGTTTCCAATCGCGATAAACCAAATGGTTGGGAGGAAAGAACACGGAAATTTAATTCTTCGTCTCCTGGAGGCTTTGTCAGGTCATTTGCATGCCTCCAAAAATTTTATACTAATAAAAAAAAGGAGGCGCGGAAAGAGGTTGCAAACAACAAAATTTACAAAAGAAAAACAGGCGGGGAACCTTCAGAAAAGAAAAAAGAAGACCCAAATATTGAATTATTTTTGGCGACAATGAACAAATATTCTGTTTATGGATTGACGGACCATTTTGGGGACGATAAATCTTACAATCAGGAGGAGAATGATGAAAATCATCATATTAATCATGATCACGGTGGTGATGATGAAGATTACATCTTTCTAAGAATACCCTCCTTCTTAAAATAAAAGTGACATGAGTACTATTAATGTAATGTTACCTTTCAGTCAGGATGATTCCGAAAACGCGAAAGTAAGTTTGTTTTACCATTTTTTTCCTGCAAACTAATCAATACATCAATTCAGGTTGATACTCATCATCAGACAGGCACCAAACCAATAACGGCTTTTTCAGCTGTTGCCTCCAGTAGCAGGGTAGGTAGACATTTTTTTACAAATTCAAATAATTACTTGATTTTGTTTTCCATCTAGGTTGAAGATGATAACCAAACTATTCAAAATGCCGAAAAAAATCAACTTAAAAAACGAAAAAAAGTCTTGAATTAGATATTCAAATAAAATTAGAATATTTAAACAAATTAAAAAATTGTAAAAATTTAAACGAAATTGTCCCACCTTTTCCCAAATAAATTCAAAATAGTTTTATTCATAAAAATGATTTATTAAGCTTTTTTATTATTTTAATAATTATAATTGTCCAAAAAAATTATTGATAAAATTTCTTTGCAGCTGCCCAGCAATATTTTCGTTTGCACCCAGTCCTTCATTCAATCCACATTGCAAAATTCTAAATTTCCATTACATATTGCCTGAACATTAATAGAAAAGTAGTCTTTCCTATTTCTAAAAACTTCTGCACTTTCTCCACCTAAAAGTATTAACAAAAGTGAAGTAATTCAATTTTTCCTTCTTTTTTGTAGTACCTGGTGACTCAATTTTTACATGAGCACAATCTAGAGCGCCAATTATTCTGGGAAACCTCGCTATATTATAAAAATTGTTTGTCTTCACATAATCATTATATTTTGAAGCAATGACTCGTGATACTCTTTGAATAATTCTGGAGGCACTTGAGGTATGAATGCCTATATAATCAGCAATCAATGAGAAATGTCCTCCGGTTGAATAAAACCGCAGTGTGGTTAATAATTGATTAATCGGAGATAAAGCGTCATTTCTAAAAAAGATTAAGATTGTAAATAAAAAGTATATATTTACTTATCTGTAGGAAACTCCAGCTGCCCCTCGATTTGAATTAATAAATTCAAAACAGTCTATTTTGTCAGTCGAAACCTTTGAACCAATTTTAGTTCGGAGAGTTCATGAAAATAATCACTCCTTATATATATTTGACGCGGTATACCCACTTCCACTAGTTCAACCACCTCTAAATCATCTTCGAAAGCATCAAAATCATTTTCAAGTTCCATTTTTCACAAATTATGTAAATGGATAACAAATAAATTTCCGAACTTCAACTCAGCATGGCCGACTAGTATAAAGATTATGGCCTGTCCAAGGGGTATCATACGTGTTCCTTTATCTTCACCTAGGGAATTCTATGTCTGTCAACAACTTTTTCCTGTGTTCATTTCATTTTGAAGAGAAGTGTTTTGATAGAACATCAGCCCAGAAAGTTGTTTTAAAGCCACATTCAGTACTAACTATTTCTTATACTTATGTAGAAAAGGTATTAAATACACTCACATGCTGCATAATATAACAATTAATACATATATTTATTTTAGATTACCAATGTAGTGACCTTTAGAGGCAATGAAACGCATCACACAGAAGTTTGCGACGCACCTTCGGTAGAGCCTCAACAGAATATAGAAAATCAATTGTCTAATAACGTTTTTGAAATTACAAAGAGACTTGAAAATTTAGCAACAAAGACATGTGCAAACGTTTTACTGAAACAACAAATTAACAACCTGAAGACATTAGTGTCACAACAACAAAGCACTATTAAAACGTTAAAACGTAGAACCGCAAAACAGCAACGCAAAATTTGCAATCTGAAAGATGCTGTTTCAAGTTTAAGGAAGAAAATCAATTATTATGAAAACAACAGTGTGGATGTTAATAAATTTCAGGAAAATACAGAACTGTTGAGCAGAATGTGGGCTAAAATTAACAACAAACTATTGCCAAATCAATATGGGCCAGAAATAAGAAAATTTGTCGTTACAACACATTTCTACTCCCCAAAGGCTTTTTCTTTTATAAGATAACAATTCATTGACTGTCTTCCACACCCAAAAACTTTGTCTGTATGGTATTCTTCAGTGAATGGTGCACCAGGTTTCACAAGTGAGGCAAGTGCACTAAACGCCATCTTTTATCCAGTCTCGCACGCATTTTTGATCCTCTTGGCATATTGAATCCGCTTACTTTTTTCATGAAACATTTAATTCAACGCATCTGGACTCGCAAGCTAGCTTGGGACGACGCTCCGCCGAATGATATTTTACGCGCTTGGAATATCTTCGCTAGGGATATTTCCGTTCTAAACGATTTTTCGTTACCGCGCCGCCTTCTTTGCGATAATTTCCTCTCGTGTGAAATTCATGGTTTCGCTGACAGCGCCGAGAAGGGCTATGCCGCCGTAGTTTATTTGGTTTTTTAGGTTCGCCTCACTTGAACCACGCACGCAGTTTGTTTGTGCTAAATCCAAAGTAGCACCGCTCAAGAAGATTACGATTCCAAGGCTGGAACTTTGTGCCGCAGTATTGCTAACACGGCTCCTCAATCTGGTTTGCCGAATTTACAAAGACAAAATTCCTTTTAATCGCCTATGTGCTTGGACAGACTCCCAGATAGTTCTAGCTTGGATCAAATCTTCGCCGCATCCTTGGAAGACATTTGTCTCCAATCGCGTCTCGTTTATTCAAGAGCATCTGCCCTCCTCGTCGTACTATGTTCCTTCCGGTCAGAATCCAGCTGATCTAGAGGGGCATACCCTCAGGAGTTACTGGTTAGTTCCCTATGGTGGGCGGGACCCCCCTTTTTGAAGTACGGCACGCCCTTCAATAATATGACGCCTTCTGTCCCTGTCTCCATTCAGGACGAAGAACGCACGCAATCGTGTATGCGATAGTGAGCACCTCTTTATTGGACGACTTAGTCAATACGCACTCATCTCTGCCGAAAATTATTCGCATTCTTTGTTATGTACGCCGATTTTTCCGTGGAATGACTAGACCTACTAAAAGCGCCCCCCCGTATATCACTTCATCGGAATGTGTTGAGTATTAATTATTTTGTAAAGCGACCTTCAATGGTGAAATCAGACTAGGCCATGTTAGGGTAGAATGTAAGAGCTATAAGTTAAGTTGGTACTGTCAGAACTGGCAAGAAGAGAAGGGGAAAAGAAGGGCTTGTGTCAAACGCCGTATTGTGCGACGTCCTTTTTTTTTCATCTCGACCGTCGAGCAGACAAAATGTTCGGTCTGATAGTGTTTATTAAATAACAAAAGGTATGCACAACTTATGTATTGTATTAATGTATGTTAAATGAAACCGAATGTATTCTTTTTGTAACGCCTATTTTAATTTTACAGGCGCTTTTTGTTATCCAAATAAATTCATTTCTTATCCAAAGTTAATAAATTAATAACAGAATGTTACCGTCTGGGCATCGTTTCACCTCTATGCTCATAGAATACACGCATTGCAAATATCTCCATGCTGGAGATCAGACGGTTCATTACCTTCTCGGTAATCAATTTTGGATTATGTCCGCCAAACGCGCGATAAGACGGGTGCTGTCAAAGTGTCTAAGATGTTTCCGTACCCAACCGGTATCCACTCCACCACGCATGGGGGATTTGCCTCCTTCTCGGTTTTCTCAAATTAAACCCTTTCTACGAGTTGGGGTGGACTACGCCGGACCCTTTTCTATTACCATGGCCAAAACGCGCGGTGCTAAAACGCTAAAAGCGTATTTATGTCTATTCATATGTTTTGCGACGAAAGCTCTACATTTGGAGCTCGCCTCAGATTTAACCGCCGACGCCTTCCTAGCGGCGTTACGACGCTTTCTTGAGCGGCGAGGGAGATGCCAGCATATCAATTCCGATTGCGGTACTAATTTTATTAGTGCCCACAGACAATTAGATCAATATATGCACGAAGCTGTACAGTCGGAACAGATTCATTGGCATTTCAATCCGCCATCAGCTCCACACTTTGGTGGTTTGTGGGATGCCGGCGTCAAATCGGTAAAGACCCACCTAGTCCGTGTCATAGGCCACCAAATCTTAACCTACGAAGAGCTCTTAACTTTAGTCTCTCAGGTCGAAGTAATGCTGAATTCCCTTCCGCTTCATCCTGTAAGCAGCGACCCAAACGACTTGACCGCACTGACTCCCGTCCATTTTCTTACGTTGGCCCCTTTAATTGCACTCCCAAACCGGACCTTGCAGACGTGCCGGTGAACCGCTTAACTCGCTGGCAGCTAGTTCAAAGCTTTGTCAAATGTATTTGGTCGCGATGGAGTGCCGAATATCTCCATACATTGTATCAGCGGTAGAAATGGTCTGCCGAGAGACCTAATTCTATCGCGGTCGGATCCCTTGTCCTTATTAAAAACGAGTTGATACCCCCTCTGCAGTGGCGTCTAGCCCGAGTCCTACTTCTGCATCCCGGACAAGATGGCATAGTTTGGGTTGTCACCTTGAAAACCGCCGGTGGAGTCCTAAAGCGCCCAGTGGCCAAACTTTGTCCACTCCCTGCAACTTTGCAGTAAAAAAAAACCTTTTTGTTTTTTTTTTTGATGGGCGGAATGTCTCGTCCCCAACTCAACACTTATTTATTATTTAGTTTAATTTTATCGTTTGGTGCAGTACTCCGCCCGCAACCCTCGCTACACTGGTGGCCGACCTATTGCGGCCCTTTTTCTTTTGGTGTCCGCTTGTGTAGCAACCAGTCGAGTGAACTGGACGCGTTTTCGAGTCGTCGTAGTCGTACCGGCCAGGACAGTACCCGCCATATTAGAGAGTTTGCGCTAAACAATTATTCGCTTATAAAAACTCCCCTTATGGTTATAATCATAACGAGGTGGTATAAGCATACCGTAAATGTGAATTTCTTACACTATTTTTGAAAATAGCGTGGCCAATCAAAAATCTCCGGTTATAATATCTGACCGTTGCTGGCCTGATTATTCTGACAGTGACAGCCGATGTGACAGCGGTCCGTGTTGGTTTTCCTCGTTTTCCTACATTTAAAAAATAATAATGTGTTCACGGGACCTTTGGGAGCGTGATAATAATCAGATGTCCTTGCCACCGATTCCCAAATCTGCGACGTCATTGCAGACGCAGGAATCACAGCAAAGATATTCACAAGATCCATGCACCCCTTCAACTTCTAGTGGAAAGAAAAGCAGGTTTCGGTTTAGCGAGGCCGAAAGAATAAAACGCATAAAGGAGCTGTTCAATTTTTTATGTGAGGGGGATTTTGCAACAGAAGAACAGTTGTGGAAAAACTTACATTTTGTTTTGTGCTATGACAGTGATAGGTATGTAGGTAAAGTTAAAACCAAACCAGGAATGTTTTGCGAATTGTTTATTGACATTTCAGATTCAAAAGTTGCAGTTTGAGATTATTGAAAGAGCACATACTGGAACAAGTAGTTAAATACAAAAAATATGATTCAGAAGAGGCTACTGAGAGTGGAAAGGAGCGTTTGCACACAGAGTGGGGAGATGCTATGAGGACGTTGTTGACAGTGTGGTACAATTACGAGTCTATTGTAAATTTAGAAGCTGAGAAGAAAACCAACAAACCTGGACGTCCTCGGAAAGAAGCAACTATGAAAAAAAAATTATGATGTGGCTGCAGCCAAGGCCATTAGGGAAGCTGCTTTGCAGACAATAGAGAATAATAGTTCCTTTTCAGAAAATATCATAATAGAATTAACTGATGTTGATGATAGTGATAACACTGATTATGGACCGCACTATATTAACAGCAATGACGCTGAGTTTCAGGATGATACTGAATCTACCAATAATAATTGTCCTAATGCGCCTAGAGCTAAAGGTGTCAAGAAAAAACATACCACACAAGCAGTGAAAACTAGAAATTCATCTACTTCCCAAGGTAATGGAGTTTTCTTGTACTTGTCAGACAAAACAAGAGTTGAGAATGAACTTAGAAAAGAAGAATTGCGTTTAAGAGAACGGCAACATGGTGATACCATCAAACTCCAGCAAGACGAGATTGCCTACAAAAAAGCAAAGTTGGAATTCGAAGAAAGGAAGTGGCAGCAGCAATATAAAGAAAAGCAAAGTGATAATCAAAGAAATGATACTATTATCAAGCTTCTTGAGGCCGTTTTAAATTCTGGTGTTCTAAAAAAAAATCCTTGAATTAATTTTTTAAGTAACTTTGTAATAAAACTTCATATTTGGTCGAAGCTGTTTATTTGAAACCACAGTAATATAGAGTTCATTGAAAATACTCAAACAAATCAGGAGTGTCAATATTAAAGTATTTTGAAGTTAAGCTACCGTAAATGCAGGAATGGACGTTGGTTAACAAAGTTGCTGCGAAGTAATATTTGCCCACAGGCTGCAGCAGAAGCTTCTGATTTTTTTTAAAATCGACGAAGGCGAATTGTTGCACAATTTTACCGAAGCTCCATTCCACACATTGTCTTACTCTTGACATTTTCTTATTAAACAGCTGCTGCTGCTCAGTTAATCTGGTATTCGAGTATGGTCTTATCAACTGGGATTTTAATGGATAGCCTTCGTCACCATAGAGCCAAAATGTTGGACAATACAATCTTAATTGTTGCAGTATATGTGTGTCTTTTAAAATGAAGGAATCATGACGTGTGCCAGGATATGGCTGGCTTAAATGTAATATTAAACCATTGGGTAAAGTTATAGCTTGAAACTTGAGGCAGTGCACTCTTTTGTGGCCACTATATAGCTCCTTCTGCATTCTAGTTAGTCGGCAGGTGGATCAAGCTGTTCCATCTATGAATCCAATACAATTTGTTAGCGGAGCACCTTTCTCGTGCACCAGCAGTGCCAGTTCTTTCAAAAAATCAGTCGTCAGCCACTTATTTTCTTCAAAGTTCAGCAGCAATTTGCTCTACCTCATATAAACAAAATGACAAATCAATTTCACTAGTTTACTGAGACTCGAGTATTGCAAACCAAATTCATTTTGCAGTTCTTTCAACCTATTTGGGTAGGCAAATCTCCGAAGCAAAAGGCACAAACCTTCCACTCCTGAAAAAAATAAATATGATTAGTAGGGAATATATTATTGCTTATGTTTTACAAACCCCCAATGATATGTCTGTCTTCTGTTTCGAATCGATGTGGCAGTTGTAGAGCTCTGTGCAGTTTTACAAATCTTCCTTGTCAAACCGGTAAAGGTATTTAAAATTACCGATTTCTACCTTGTCAATATCAAAAGGAACACGCGTATATACTTGCCTTTTCTCTGCTAAAACTTTCTCCAGGGATTTGTAGAAGAAATAGTCGCTGATACTGTCGGTATCCCCATAGAGTAGAAGATCCTGGATGATATCTGTGGCGGTAAACTTTCAAGTGGACCGCAAGCCCTTGGAGGGAAGAAGAGTCAGTCGGTTCCCGCGCGCCAACAAGTAACGTGGTGTAGTCAGTCGTCCGCTAACATACATATGTAAATAAACGTTAATAGGGCAGAATACTCATTTTCATTATCATCTTCACCCCACACCAAAATATCCATAATTTCTTCACTGATACAAAACTCAAATTTTCAATCCAGTGTAGTTTTCTAAGTATTTTTAAGCTGTCAGTAATTGGTACAGTTATGTTGTACCTTAAGCCATCTCCAAATGACTGTATTTAACCTAACCTAACAAATGGATCTGTCATACGTCAATTATACCATACCGTACCAGCACGCACTACAGCGCAAACACTTTTCAAAACTCAAACGTTACACTATATTTGTAGGTTATGTTGATTATAATTATAACGTAGAAATACAAGGCGCAAACTCTCTACTAATTATTCCCGCTATCGTTATTCCCGCCATTGTTGTACCCGCTATTGCTGAACCCGCTATTCTGGAACCGCTATAACCCGCGACAGTGCACCCCCTTCCGAGTGCTTTCTCCAGGAGCACCCTAGCCATCACCTCCAGGCCAAGATCACTCAGCACGCACAGCTCGGTAAGTCCATCTTATCTCTCTCTGGTAAGCTACAGAAACATATTATCTAGTACATATTTGTAAATTAATATTAATTATTATACAAATTTTAAAGTACAGTTCTCTTACTGCCTTTTAATAAAATTATTTTAAGACCTACCGCTAACCCAAAAATGACTGGCATTGAGGCAACATTTCTATGATTACTGGTACTAAGACCAAGTAATGATATGCATTGATTGGATTGATAAAAAAAATCGAGCTTCTAGAATTACAACATATACAAATTCGTCTGTTATTCTTTAATCTCACCCTATCCCCAAAACCTTAGCGTAACTACCAGTCATTTATAATTTTATATAATGATTTTATTATTCTTGGCTAATGTTTTTTCTTTATAATATTATCTCCTTAAATGTTATTCCAAAGATCTCGCGACAATTATATAGCAAAAATTCAAACTTTGATGTGAATTTATTCTAAAAAAAATATTTGAGTAGTGGGGCCCCTTATGAATACTATTAAGATACGCCACTGAAGCGGCAGCCATATTGAAGCACCTTTTATTGCTTTCACGCATTTTGGCGCGGGATCACTTATTTGAACTCTCATTCCCTCCTTTATATTCCTTCCTCCATGACATCTCCCCTTTTCATTAAGATAGTGCAAAATCCTCAAATCGCTTAGGAACTCTAACATGACGACCACTGCGAGTTACAATATTATGTCTACTATGATCACTGGAGGAATGATCAGTTACACTACATAACGAATTGTCACTAGACATTGATGCCTCCATATGCTGATTAACAATTTTATTGTTATTGCTAACTACACCAAGATCTTCGTCCTCTCCAATCTTTTTGTATTCGTTCTTTGAATGTTTCAAGTGAAATGAGTTTCGACGTAACCTATTACCTTTTTCATCCTGAATAGGACCTAGGAGTTTGTTTTATTAAAAAATTAGTCGAATTGGAAGAAAAAGTTGGCCTAAAATTTGACACAAAATTAATACCAAGACACATTGACTTCAAAAACGAAACAATGTGTGTTCGATTAGCGCTCCAGCACTGTGTCTAGAACATGAAAAAAAAAAAATACAAAATTGATGACGAAGCACGAAAACACGGGCATGAAGTTCTTCGTTTACCCCCATACCATTGCGAATTTAACCCAATCGAAATGATATGGGGTATTCTAAAGGGAAGAATTCGACGTAATAACACTAATTTTAAGTTTAGTAGCGGAACTATTGACGTCATTAAACATCAAGTT